TACTATTTCACTCCTTCTCTCTCTCTTTCTTTTTCTTTCGCAATATCTTTCTTTCTATTCCGTTTCTTTCTTTTTCAATTCATTTTTCTTCTTCTGTATTTGCTTTCTCATCGCCTTCTAATTATCTCCTTACCTGTCTCTATTTCCATCTCTTTTCCTCTACTCCTCTCTCTCTCTATCTCTTTCTTTCTCTTCCTCTATCTTTTTCTCTTCTTCCCACTCTCTCTTCTCTTGTCTAATTACTTTCCACTTTTCCTTTGTCCTCTCTCTCTCTCTCTCTCTCTCTCTCTCTCTCTCATTTTCTAATCCTGGTATTCTTTAATTTTTGCTCTTTCTTCAATCTGCCTGACATTTTCTCCAATTTCTCTCACTCTCTCTCTCTCTTTCTCTCTCTCTCTCTCTCTCTCTCTCTCTCCATCTGTTTGGCCCTCTCTCTTCTTTTTGTTTCTCAACTTCATTTTTCGTTCCTCTTTTTTCTCTCTTGTCTCATGCTTTCTTTTCTTATACTTTTTTTTATCTCCTTCTCCTTCTTTATCTCGTCGTGTCTTTATTCTCCCTCTCTCTCTTTCTCTCTCTTATTCTCTGCCTCTCTCTCTCACTCTCTTTCTATCTCTCTTTCTCTCTCTCTTTCTCTTTCTCTCTCTCACTCTCTCTCTCGCTTATTCTCTGCCTCTCTCTCTCTCTCTCTCTCTCTCTCTCTCTCTTCTTTCTGGTTTATCACATTTTGAGCCTTTCTTTCACTTCATCTTTTATTTTCTTTGTACATCACTCTTTCTTTATATCACTCTCTTTCTTTCCTTCCCTTTCTCTCTCTCTTCCTCTCTCTTATTCTCTGCCTCTCTCTCTCACTCTCTTTCTATCTCTTTCTCTCTCTCTCTCTCTTTCTCTTTCTCTCTCTCACTCTCTCTCTCTCGCTTATTCTCTGCCTCTCTCTCTCTCTCTCTCTCTCTTCTTTCTGGTTTATCACATTTTGAGCCTTTCTTTCACTTCATCTTTTATTTTCTTTGTACATCACTCTTTCTTTATATCACTCTCTTTCTTTCCTTCCCTTTCTCTTTCTCTCTTCCTCTCTTTCTTTCCTATGCCCCTCTCTTTATAATTGGGTGCGTATGTGCGTGAGAGAGAGAAGTGACATTTTTCTGAAATTATTCGACGCAGAAATCTGGTTATCAATTTTACAAAAATATTTTTTCTGGCACACTTAACAGTTTACAAATTGTTGTGTTTTTCATATTTATTTAACACTGTTTACAATATTGTCTTCTCTCTCTCTCTCTCTCTCTCTCTCTCTCTCTCCCTCTCTCTCTCTCTTTTTCCACCGACTATCGCTCTTTCCACCCTCTCTCTCTTACCACCTCTCTCTCTTTTTCCACCCACCCACCCTCTCTTTCCCTCCCTCTCTCTCTTTCTCTCTCCCTCTCTCTTTTCACCCTCTCTCTCTCTTTCCACCCTCTGTTTCTCTCTCTTTCCACAATTTCTCTCACTTTCCACCTTCTCCCTCTCTTTCTCACTCCCTCTCTCTCTTTCCACCCTCTCTCTTTCTCTATCTTCCCCTTCTTTCTCTCTATATCTCTCTTAATTTCCTTCCCTCTTTCAATTTGTATATATATTTCTCTCTGTAACTTCTTCAATCTCTATTTCTTGCTCCACCTTTCAATCTCTGTTTTTCGTTTTCTCCTTTCGTCTCTCTTTTTTTTCTCTTTCTCTTTTCTCTTTGGCTCTCTTTCTCTCTTTCTTTCCTTCCCTTCAATTTATATATATATATATATATATATATATATATATATATATATATATATATATATATATATATATTTTTTTAACTTCTTATATATATATTTTCTCTTTAACTTCTACAAACTCTATTTCTTCATCTATCTTTCAATCTCTAATTTTCGTTTGCTGCCTCTCCTCTCTCTTTCTCTCTCTTATCGTCCTTCTATCTCTTTTTCTTTGTCTCTTTCAATCTGTATCTCTCTTTGTATTCCTGCTTTCTTTCTCTTTCCATCTCTTTGTTTCAGTGTTTATCCCTCTCTGCTTTTCTCTTTTTCTTTTCCATCTTTCGCAACTTCTTTTTTTTTTTTTTTGCTTTTTCTACCTTTCTCTTTCTTTCACAATTATTATCCCTTTTCTATCACTTCTCCTTTATATCACTCTCTCTGAATATTTCTCTATGTCTTTTTCTCATCCACTTTTTCTCTCTAACTCTTCCATTCTCTCTCAATATTTTTATTGTTTCTCATTCTCCCTTTCTCTCTCTCTCTCACTTTGTTTCTCTTTATCTGTCAATACATCTTTTTCTTGCTACCTTACTCTTTCTTCTTTAATACACTCTATCTACCTTTCTCTATTTTTCTTTTTCTCTTGATCGTTCTCAATGTTTTACTCTCTTTCTTTAACTTTTCTCTCTTTCTCCCTTCCTCTCTTTCTCCTTCTCTCCATTTCTCTCCGTATTCCACATCCTTTTTGCACTCTCTTTTTCTTTCTCTATCTATCTATCTATCTATCTATCTATCTATCTATCTATCTATCTATCTATCACATTCTTACCTCTCTCCGACACATTTATAATTCTATCCTTTCTCTTCCATTTTCCCTCCTTTTTTGCTCACACCTGAATTTCCTTTTTTTTTTAATTATCTCCCTTACTCCACATATCGCTCTCTATCTATGTATCTAGCTAGCTAGCTATCTCAGTCTATTCATATCTATCTCTATTTTGCTGTATATATATCATCCAGTTCATATTTATTTATCATTCTGTTTATATCTATCTGTCTGTTTATCTTTCTATCTCAGATTGAAACAGAGTGAGATAGAAGACTATCTATCCATCTTTCTCAGTTCTTTTCATATCTATCCATCTACCTATATATATATCTATGCATATATCTAAATCTATTTCTATCTATCTATCTATGTCTGTTCATCTATCTACCTGAGATTGAAACAGACTTAGATAGATAGATAGATAAATAGATAAAAACTATCTCTCCATCAATCCTAGTCTTTTCATAACTATATATATATATATATATGTGTGTGTGTCTTCATCTATCTACCTGAGATTGAAATACACTGAGATAGATAGATAAAAACAATCTATCCATCAATCCCAGTCTTTTCATAAGTATCTACATATATATATACAGTAGCGTCCAAAACTAAGGGACAAAATTTTCTCAATTTTGTCCCTTACTTTTGGACGATCCTATTTTGAAAATAAATAAGTAATTGTTATAATTCTTTTTCTATCCTTGGCAAATGATTCAAATTTTAGTATGTTATTATGGATGATAACGACTACCAGTTGTCAAAATTTCAGCTTTTCACAGTTGTTATTTCTAACAAATATTAGGTTTTAAAATTTTGTCCCTTAGTTTTGGATGCTACTGTATATATATATATATATATATATATATATATATATATATATATATATATATATATTATGAAAAACTAGGTAAACCGTATGGATAAACCCAAGGAGAATAAAATCCAGAGAGCTCAATGTAAATCAGAGCAAATAATTTAATGAAAACAGACCACTTTTAAGGTTCCATGACCTTAAAGTCGTCTGTTTTATTTAAATTATATATATATATATATATATATATATATATATTACCCTTTTCGTAACTATTTATCTATCTAGTTTTGTCTCTCTGTCTCTTTCTATCTATCTTTTTTCTTTCTCAATCTCTTTAGCTTTTACTATTCTATTATTTCTTTTCTCCTTTACATACGTTATATACCCCCTCTATACCTTCTCTTTCTCAAAATCCGTTTTCTAAATCTACTCTCATCCTCTCTCTCTCTCTCTCTCTCTCTCTCTCTCTCTCTCTCTCTCACCATATATATAGATAGATATATATATATATATATTAGTGGATACTCATGTTCGGGTAGACGTTCGTTTTTTTTTTGTTTTGTTTTTTTGTTTGTTTTTTTTTTAGCTTATGAATTATTTAATGACGAAATCTAAATATGTTGTACTCAATTTTATTTTATCTTTGGTGATAATAATGGTTATGTGAGTCAAGTCTTACTAATTAACCCATAATTAAGCTGGGGGAGAAGACCCTGATTTATATATTTACCAAGGTTATTTGCGCGTAAGTAAATTTAACGAACCCAACTGGAATTGGAATTCGTCTCTCCGATCAACAATTCCGAGCCATTCTCCATTTCACCAACCGCACCTTCAAGCTTACCGAACCTGGTGTCACCAAGCGGTCATCCATCTAAGTACGGACCAGGCTAGACGTTGCTTAACTTCGGGAACCGGTGTTTCAACATGATGTTACCGTAAGCTCTTAAGTAGACGTCCCGTGAGAATTACGGCTATCGGCCTGTTCACTCGAGAGAATTTATTAAGAAAACATGCTCTCCGGTTCGAACCTGTAGCCGCTTTTTTTATGGGAGATTATCGTCTAAACCTGCGTTATTTTATACCGTGCGGCCATAGAGAAGATAGTTGACTTATTTAAAGAGTACACACCCTGTCATTCAGATATCTTTGAAGACCCATATCTGCTCTCGATGTTGTATTCGAAACGTAAACAAAGCAATTTGACAGGCGTTAATGGGTTTTATTTTCAATCCGACGTTATATCTTCTTTTCCTACGAAAATGTCTTCATATTTTCCTAATTATCTTCTATTGAAAATATGTTATGTGACATAATTACATAGACCAACCATTTTGCCTGGTTCCTCATCTTTCTTGTTCGCTTCTATTTTTCCAATTTCTATTTTATCCCAAAACGTCTTGCCACACATCCTCCTCTTTCATTCTAATGTCACACCTCATCCCTTTTCTCTTTAAATCTCTATTTCTCTTTCTCTCTCTCTCTTTCTCTCTCTCTCTCTCTCTTCTCTTTCTCTCTTCGTCTTTGTCTCACTTTCTCTCTCTATCTCTTTCTATCTCTCTTTCTATATTTTTCCAGCCTTTTCACCACGTTTTCCTACACCTGACATTCACTTTTCTCTTACCTTCTAATGCTCTCTCATCTCTTTCTTTCTTTTCATTTTTTTTACTCTCCCTCTCCCTCTCTTCCCTCTCTCTTTCTCTCTCTCGTCGCATTTTCTTATGTTTCTGACATGCACCTTTCCCTTCTTTTCTCTGCCTATCTCTCTTCCTCTCTCTCTCTCTCTCCTCTTTTACTCTCTTCTTTTATCTCTCTCTTTCTCTATCTCTCTCTTATCTTTCTTTTCTTTTCTCCGTTTCTCTGTCTATTTTTCATTTTCCTTCTATATTTTCGCCTCTTGATCATATTTTCCTATATCTTTCTCTGACATCCACTTTCATTTCCCTCCTTTTCTCTTCCCTTTTCTCTCTCTCTCTCTCTCTCTCTCTCTCTCTCTCTCTCTCTCGCTCTTTCTCTTTCGCAGCATAATCAACTAAAGTTAGTTCAGAAAAGTTAAAGTTAGGTAGAAATTAAACACTCCTTTCTCTAATGAGAAGATAATTTCAAGAGTTCATCAAAAACATTTTTCAACTCCTGAATTACTCAAGATGCCGAAGAACCGTCTGATAAGTGACAACAAGTCATTGAAAATAATTATGAATATATAATTGAATCAAATCTAATTGTTCTGTAACAGTCCTTGTAAGAATTTTTAGCAATCCAAAGGTCTCTTTAACGGCATTGCTTTGACCAGCTTGTGACGAATTCTCTGATTGGCCAATGATATGCCTGCCTCGTTTCCATCTTGCCAGACAATTAAGAAACTCTCTCTCTCTCTATCTCTCTCTTTCTCTCTCTCTATCTCTCTCTTTCTCTCTCTCTCTCTCTCTCTCTCTCTCTATCTATCTATCTATCTATCTATCTATCTATCTATCTATTCCTGCTTTCTTTTTCTTTCGATCTCTTTGTTTCAGTGTTTATCCCCCTCAACTTTTCTCTTTTTCTTTTCTATCTTTCGAACACTTATTCTTCCTTGCTTTTTCTATCTTTCTCTTTCTTTCACAATTATTATCCCTTTTCTTTCACTTTTTCTTTATATCATGCTCTTTGAATGTTTCTCAATCTCTTTTTCTCATCCACTTCTTCTCTCTAACTCTTCCATTCTCTCTCAATATTTTTATTGTTTCTCATTTTCTCTCTCTCTCTCTCTCTCTCTCTCTCTCTCTCTCTATCTATCTATCTATCTATCTATCTATCTCTCATACACACCCACACACACACTCTTTGTTTCTCTTTATTTATCAATATATCCTTCTCCTGCTACCTTACTCTCTCTTCTTTACTACACTCTACCTCTCTCTATTTTTCTATTTTTCTCTTTATCGTTCTCATTTCTCTTTCTTTATCTTCTCTCTCTCTCTCTTTCTCTCTCTCTTACTTTCTCTCGCACACACACACGCGCGCGCGCACATACACACACTCTCATTTTTACACTTGTAG